AGAATGTGTAGGTGAAGTAAAATTGTTCTCAGCCTTGTTCTGTGGAGTTTCTGTTCAATTCCCCACCTGTTGTAATGTTATGTTCAGCCATGCAGAACTTTTCTCTCACTCGTTGTATGCCAGACCTCCCACATTGTAAATCGGCGCAAAGGGAAAAAAGATTCAGCTCTTTCAGTGTGTGACCATGAAGGCAGAGGAAATCACTCTAAACGGTCTTAATTCTGCCATTAGATGAGAGGGAGCACTGTGGGGATTGGCTGGCCCTATGCTCCATATTCACAGAAGCAGGATGAGGCTGGGAAGCCTGCTGAGAAAATGGTGTTGTAATCAGGAGCCGGCAGTTCTGCCTGATCAGGTACACTAGCCTGTCTTCTTGTTTCCTCAAATCCCTCCTCTCCCTCTTTGCCCCCCTCCACTCGATTCTCTTCCCCTGCATCGTAAGGAGATCCTAATAAGAGTTTGGGGCATACTGAGCTCCTCTTATGTGAGGACCTGGCAGGAGTGAACAGAGATGAGGCCTGAGGTGGGGGGTGCAGCTTGAGGTATGGAGTTGTGGTGATGGGATGGCGGGGGCTCTTTTTTTTTTTTTTTTGCCCACATTTGATTATTCAAGTTGGCTGAACTAAACTAAACCCATAAAATTCGTATCCCCTCTGGGGGACATTTGCATATATTTCAGCACCCCCTTCCTTCACAACCCAATTCCTCCTTTTTCTAAGAAAGTGAAAGAGAGGGCGAAGCAGCCAGGCCTGTCTAGGCTTTAAGATGTCACCATAGTGTGAAATATGGGCGAACAAGCATGGTCTTTGAAAGTAAAACTAACCCCCCACCAGCCTCTTGGCTGCTGCCACGCACACACACACACACACACACACAGACTCAGTCATCCTCTTGCACTCCATTGGTTGCTATACATAAGTAGAAATTCAAGTTTTTGTCATTAAGAAGTTAGATGCTCTACAACTTCATTCTCCACTTTCTGCACCTCAGATATTTTCAAGTGACACATGATGCACTGGAGCACTTGTCGAGAAAGTCATATGTGAAAGGAAACTGCTTACAGCATGTGAATACAGAGTGTGAATCTGTGTTTATATGTTTGTACATGTGATTTTATCACTTACAAGCTTATTTTCACATATTTGGAATCATCTGTTTGTCAGCTGTGTATGTGCAGCTATTTACAAAATACCCTGAGCAGTGACATGTCAAACTCTGCCATTATATCAGTGAGGCAAACTGCTGGAGACCACAAACTGTTCCAAATCTTTGATAAACATGTCAAAGCAGTAAAGCCCGGACCTGTAATTATGCCAATTTTACTCTTACTGTTGTCGATGTAGGGGATTAATTTTCATACAAAAATCTTCTGGGGCCAGGTCTTAAAATTCCATTTAGGATGTGTGCCCAGCAGCATAAAGATGAAGAGAACACATGTAGCTGGGCACTCAGAGAAGCAAGCTGGCTGAAGGCAGGGCTCTACATCGCCAGTCAGCCATAAGAGACACCTGTTCATTTGTTTGCCTAGTGAAGTCGAGGTTTTGTTTTTCACCGTGCCAACCAAGCCCGCTGGCACTCATTTGGACCATCTGTATGGACGGCTGAAGTTAGACGGGTGGGGTGGGGGGTTGATACTTGGTGGCATTTTGCTCACATGGGGTGAGTTGCTGTCATCCTTTAACCCTCCCCCCTGGACCCCTTTACCTCCCCCTCCCATGCCCACTCCCTGGTGCACAGGCAGAATGCAGTGTCAGGAGGGTGAGCACTGAGCGCCCATTGTGTGTGCTAACCAAAGCGGAATGCCCGGGTGACAAAAGGGGGAGGAGTGGGCTCAGGGCACACAAAGCCAGGGGGAGGAGAAGGGTGGAGGAGGATTGGGGTGGGGGTGGGGGGCAAACTGCTGGGGGCTAAATAGACCCACTCAGCCCCAAAAACTCTAGGCACCCTAAAAATCTTCTCTTGCTTCCCCCTGCTGCCTTCTCACCCTCACCAGGCCTTCCTGCCCCAGCTCTGGGGGGTACAGTACGTAAAAGAAGAGAAACCTCTAACAACTGAACCTTCAAACTATCAGGTGTTGGTCTGGGTCTTATGAGTCACGCCCCCAAGGTCTAAAACAGGATGTACTTGCCAACAGTGGTCACGGTTTCCAATCTCTGGCATCAGTCATGGATGTCCTATAAGCCACATTTATCACCGTGTTTACAGAACACACATTTTCTTTATTTGTAAGCACCATAAAACCTCACTGTATGGTGATGAACATGACTTGATATCTTGCCATACTTCATATGTATAGAATGCAGAAGTTTATTCATTTTGGTGAATGACATTTACAAATATTGTGCATATGAACCCTGTGTATGGCGTATTCCCTGTCATTATATGTGTATGCGGATGTGGAACTATGGGCCAGGAGGCTTTTTATTCCTGAAAAATAAATAATCTAATCATAAAACTTCAGGACAAGCATTTCCAGTTTCCACCTTCCCGTACAGTTAAATGAAATAGTGTGATCACTGTGTGACCTGTGACTTCCCATCTGTTTTGGTGTACAAGTGTGTGCATGGGGGGCACATGTGCATGTACTCACCTGCCTATTCTAGAAGCTGACAGCAATCTTGCCTGAGTACTATCGCACGTCAAAACCAGGCTCTCAACTCCCACACAGGACCTGGGGCAACAGTGCAGCCACTTTAAAACACACAAAACAAACCCTCCTTAATATATCTCCTGCAGATGCATGTAGGAGCAGATCCACTTTAAACTGACTCCTTATAGCTGTGGACCTTTGCACTTTTAATGGCAGGGATATTCTCCAAATCTCTTTATTGGATGTTAAATCTCTTTCTCAAATCTGATGCCCATAGAAATTTTGGAACAATACCCAAACATTTAACAAATAAATTACATCCATCCATCCGTCCAGTAGCTATACTCCTATAGAGGACCATGGTGGGTACTGGTGCCAATCCCAGCTGACACTGGTCAAGAGGTGAGGTACACCCTGTACACGTCTTAACAATATATTACAGGGTATTATTGCGTTTCCATCAGTAGCATCCCCCTGCTATGATGTTTATGAATTTAGAGTAATACATTTTTTTCCAACTGGAATCCTAGAATCCAAAATATTCTAAATGTCTTCCCAACATTACTTCAACTGTTCTGATTTGAGCTTGATTCCATTATTTATTGCCCTTCTCTGTGTTTGTTGGCTTTATTTAAATGGGGTTGATTATCATATTTTGTAGCTTGTCAGTAGCAACCGATGACGCAGCTTGGGGACATAGAATGCCTTACTGGATGGGTTAATTTGTTCATTTCTTTTTCTTTGGTGTACTTTTGCTCATTAAGAGCTTTTTTGCAAAACTGCTAAATTAAATGGGCACTGTTCCTCGGCGATCCTCGGCGAGTGATGTTGCAAAGTCACTCACTGACACTGTACAATGTGTTTTTCGTAGCCTGATGCACAACCCAAGAGTGGATGCTACCAGTCGATCCATGGGGTCGCTTTGACGCAATCTTTTGTCCCTTGAGGTCCTTCCCCTTTCCCAAAATGATGACCAGGCAGATCAAAGGGGATTCTTTAAAGAAAACTCTTGATGATGACCTCCCATCCTCCCTGCTCCCACTCCCCTCATATGGACACTAAACATCTGAACTCCCCCCTTCTTTTATTCATGCAACCTCAGGCTTTCTCGCCGTATTTACATATGCCGCTGCAGGGCAAAGGTAGTTTCCCATTTTATCAGCGCTGAGTTCATAGGAAGTAGCTTGCTGAGTTGTTTTGGTTTATATGCTGTTAGTGAAATGCAGAGGGTCAAATGCAAGCCTCAGGGGCATGTTTAGGTCACAGAGTAAACCTGGCAAAGTCGATCTCACTACCTTTGTGACTAACACAAAGTGTGAGCATTTTGTTGCCTGTGTGTGTCTGCATGTGCGCTCATGCATGTAGTATGCACATCAGTGCATGAATGTCAGGTGAGTTTGTGCTGTGTGTGCTGGTGCAGTCAGTCATCAGTGCTGACCCAGGCAGCCATCATTGTTCTCAGGCTGTAAATCACCCTGCTGCAATCAGGGCTCTGATCTAGACTTTTCTGAGCCCTCTCCACTCCAGATGATTCCCTTTCTGATTGGCCTAACTGGGCTCCTGTCTGTGGTGGCAGATTAGCATGGATTGTTTTTCCCCCTGGCATACAGATTGAGCCATGTTAGCATTCACACCTCCACACACCCCAGGGCTCTGTAGAGGCTCCAAAATGCAGAGGAAAACCAGGCTACACTCTCTCAACTTTATAGAGGAGAGCAAATACAGGTGGTGGACAAAATAACAGAGACACCTGAAATATTAATCAGTTTCTATAACAAAGGCTCAAGAATAATGTATTCCTACATTTTTTGATACTCTGCCAGTGTTGATTCAACAGGTTGAGGCCTTAGTTTGTGCTGCTGCTGTTGTTGTTGTATTGAAATGCATTAAGGTAATTCCCTTAATCTGTCCCCATTGTATATATCCAGATTCACACACAAGTGCCACTTCTGTTCACTCAGTGGTATCCCAGTGTTTCTTAAAAACAACAAGAAGATGAACACAAAGTAATAAGCACGAGTCATTCAATTTAGACATTCATTTGAATTTCTAAAACAATAGTTTGTATATATCTTTGTGTTTTCCCTCTGTGTTTTTGGCACAACTTTGGCAAACATTTCAATTTTGTTTCAGTGTCGCATTCCCTCTGGTATATTGAAGTATATTTCTTTTTTCTCCCTGATGACTTTTCTCCTTTTCGGATTTCACGATACTACCACATTTGCGAGCTCATCATCATGGATGGATTACAGAATGGGCCTAGTGGACACAGCCTCAGGGGCCCAAGGGATTAGAGGGTCCCTTTACCAGAGCGTCTGTGTGAAGTGTATGAAATGGCAACATTTCTTATTGGAAGATCTTTCAAACAACTACAAAGGCACACAAAATGAGTAACAATAGACACAAAACTGTCACAAAGAACTGCAAAATTATTAAAAAGACAAACCATCCCCAAGAGACAGGAAACAAGTACAAAGTGACACTAGATGGCTACAAGGATTTGCAAAATTACTTCATAAATAAAAAATTAGTGACCAAAGAGAGGCAAAGTGACTAAAAAAGAAGCAACATGACTAAAAAGAAAGAAAAACTGACAGAAAAGAGAGAGAAATCGGCTGCAATAAGATGCAAAAGAAGTACAAAAAGATGTAAAATAGCCACAACTAAATGTAGAAAACAAAATGTAGGCACAAAATGAACAAAAAGAAACAAAACCTCAGGTGCAAACCAAATAAATAGAGACAGACAAAGCTACCTAAAACCAAGTCCAGTTGATTTTTTTTCTGTTTTTCAGCTTACTATGACCTGGACGACTGAGGATTTGCACGGACACACCACAAAAAGAGACAGTCGGTGGGCCTTGCTCATATGTAGGAGGGTGGGGGGGCCTTTAGATGTTTGTAACCAGTGGCCCATTGTCTCAATCAGTTTATGCTGATCAGGTGAGACTTCATGTACGTGTAAAGATTCCCACCTACTACAGCTTATAACTCCTGGGGTCTTTTGTTCCCCCAGCTGGGGGCCATTAGCCTGAGGACCTTGTCAACAGCCACCAGGGAGCAACCAGTGTTTGGGAAGGCGAGTGTCTATTCAGTCGTTAAGGGAATGACCATGGTCTATGATGTGACATTGCATTTTGGTCAGAAAGTCAGAGATTGTTGGTTATGGTCACAATTGTCTTTTAATATTGCCATGTTTCATAAATGTTGATAAAAGTATGGTCTCTTTTGGGAGTTACCACACTTTGCTGGTGGGTCAGGGCTTTAGGGTTGTGCTGTCTCTCTCTCACACACACACATGCACACACACACACACACACACACACACACACACATTCCAACCCATAGCTAGTTGAGTTATGTTGTGTTTGGAGATGGTCACTGTGTCAGCCTCATGAAATCCTGATGACATCACAGTGATTCCAGGCTGTGTGAGTTCAGTGAACATGAGGATCACAGGCCTCAAGTCTGGGCCCTTCTGGGTCCTTGCAGTGGATGAGAGAGAGAACAGTTTAATACTGACTGAAACACAGAGACACAGACAGAGAAAGTAAGTTGTGTTCTGTTCGGGTGTGTGTCACACCCATTTTCACTTTTTATCTAAAGAAAAAAGATACGAGTAATTATTTTTTCAAGCTCAGACTCAATGGCCTTTGCTCATTTTGTGTGAAGAACATATATCAGAACACCTTTTCAATGACCGCACACTGCACCGCACGCTAGCTGCCATCAGGACAGTGTGGGACAAGTGGGTGCACCGCCTCCCCATGTTTTACAACCCTGGGCCTCATGTCACCATTGATGAGCAGCTGATGACATTTAGGGGCCGCCGCCCCTTTAGGCAGTATATGCCATCGAAACCAGCAAAGTATGGCATAAAGATCTGGGCTGCCTGTGATGCCGCAACCTCATATGCTTGGAACTTACAAGTCTACACAGGGAAACCTGACGGAGGAGCCCCAGAGATAAATCAAGGGATGAGAGTTGTCCTGGACCTGACTCAGAAGCTCAGTGGACACAACATCACGTGCGACAATTTTTTTACCTCGCACAAGCTGGGACAGGAGCTCCTGAAGAGGAAGCTGACCATAGTGGGAACTATTCGCAGAAACAATTCTGAGCTCCCACCCCAACTTTTGATTAAAAAGGACAGGCCTGTGAAGTCTTCCAAGTTTGTGTACACGGCTGACACGTCCCTGGTGTCCTATGTGCCAAAGAAATGCAAGAATGTTGTTCTGATGAGTACACTGCACAGGGATGGGAAAGTCTGTGGCCAAATACCACAGATCATCACGGACTACAATGCCACAAAAGGAGGGGTGGACAACATGGACAAGCTGGTGACTGCCTACAGCTGCAAAAGGAGGACACTACGCTGGCCACTGGTGATCTTCTTCAACATGTTGGACATCTCGGCGTACAACGCCTTTGTCATCTGGATGGCAATGAGCCCAGGGTGGAACAGAAGGAAGCTCCAGAGGAGACGCTTCTTTATGGAGGATTTGGGAAAGGTACTGGTGACACCTCACATCCTGAGAAGACAGCAAATTCTGAGAAACCCAGCCTCTGTAGCCATCATGAGGAGGATTCGGGAGGAGCATGCTGGTGCTCCATCCACCAGACCTACAGAACCACAATCTGCAGAGACTGAGGTAAGTGTGTGATGCTGTTGCAGTATACTGTATGTTTGACACTCCTGCTTTGGAAGAAAGAGAGAGACTAGGTACTAAGTATAATTTCTTATCTCTTCATTATTCTAGGTTGCGGCCAGCACCAGGCAACAGAAGCGCTGTGGAGTGTGTGGACCCAAGAAGGACAGAAAAACACCACATACATGCATCAAGTGCAAGATATACATATGCAGGACACACTCAAGAAGACTCTGCCCCTCATGTGATGCATAGGTTTGCCTGTGTTCAATGGGGCTGTGTTGTGTAAACCAAAATGGTTACTGTGTGTTCAGCTTGTGCTGTGCAAACTGTCCTGAATGTCTGAAATTATTGAAGTTCAAATAAAAATCAGCAGTTGGAAAAACCTTGCTTCATTTGTAAATTTTTTTTTTTCCAATTGTCTAACAAAAAATTAGCATAACACAGTTTTAACCCTTATGTAATGTAATCTAACAAAGGTAAAGGGCAAATATAAACATCTGTTGATTATTACATTGTTTTAGATTAAAATTCTTTGATTATGTTGAGTTACAAAGCCAAAAGATGATGCGGGTGCAAGACACCGGTGAACACCACGAGTGTAAACAAAACATGAACAGAACACAATGAGAGTATTTTGCTACAAGAACAGATCAATTCAGGCTGCTGCATTAGAATCAAACTCACCAGATTTAAGAAATTACTTGTTGGAAACAATTTGAAACATACTTGCTGTACTGGCATGTTTCATTTATTTTAGGACTTAGTTGCATACAAAAATGACAGGTAAGAGAGAGAATATATGCCATGCATGCATTCCACTGGACTGAATGTGAGAAGGTGCCAAAAGGAAATAGAGTATAATCTATACTTAAATAAAACCTGTGTAAATAAAATGTGAAAATGTCAATATGGTGCACAAGAAACTAGAAGGGAATTTGAACTCAGTCACTCCCTGACGCAAAAATCCTGGATTCGGAAGACATCTCATCTACCACATTATGAATTAAATAAGGTTCCTCAGAATTCTACAGAAAGAGAATGAGAGAGGGAGAGACATGGAGAGAGAAGGAAGGAAATTGCCTCCAGTGTACATATCCTCATGTCTGATAATCCCGCCCTGTGTATCTGAATAAACAAGGCTTTTTTTACATGGGTGTAATGGTAATTATGGTGATTTACAACTCGTTCCTCCAGTTACTACCATTAGACTGTGTGTGTGTGTTTTTTTAGTTTTTTTTTTTCCAAGGAAAAGAGCTGAGTGGTTCATTGTAATTCTCTTTAATAAGAAAGTCCTCACTTGAGTTTGGATGCGTTATTTGCTCACTCGGTTGGAGCAGTTTTGTGTCTGTCTTCTTTGCATGATAGAAACAATTTTCTCAGGCTTGAGCATGCACTCAATTGCATGTCTAATGCTTACGTGTGTATGCGTAGATGTATTATGTATGTGTTTGCTTATTGTGTGTGTGTTTACCTTTGCAGGGTGGGGCGGGGGGTCCGAGGGGTGGACGAGTACGGAGGTGGGTGGGTAGTGGTGCATGGACCTTAGCTCCCAGGAAGCTTGTGGTGCTCCAGAAACCTGAGCTCCAGCTTGTTAAGACAATGGAGGGAACACGTGAGACTCTGGCACATGGTGGCTAGGGTTACCTGTTTGCTCTGCCTCACTCTGAACTTTTGGCCCTGGGAGCAAAGCCTCCCCACCCTTACCGCTCCTGCACCGCTCTACCTGCTTTCTTGCTCTCTGTCCTCCCTTCATTTGGTCTCTCCCTTTATCTCGCATGTTCTTGTGCGTCTTTCTCAAAACAGATGTGTGTCTTTTCTGCTGCAACTCCTTATTTCAGTGTAATATATAATCCCCCCTACTGTGTTACAGGCCATTATGATTGATGATCTTCTGAGTGAATTGCTCATTGACAGGATTCCTCAGTTTTTGTGTGTTTGCTGTCTGTCTCTCCAGACAAAAGGCTGGCTGGGCCCTCGCCATCCGAACTTCATCCATCCACTGCTCGCAGGTGAACTCTTTCCATCAGCCAGGCAAACCTGACTTTCAAGTCTCCCACCCACACCTATTGGACTGCTGTCCTCTCACCTGTGCAAATATGAAGAGAGAGGGAGGGTGGAAAAAAGTGAAATGGAAAGATATCCAGGCCTTTGGTTACAGGGTGGGGCGCAAAAAGAATACTGCACAGCTGAGCAAACCTCCATAGCCATAGGACTTCACCTGTACACTCTCGACTTTTCTCCTCTCTGTTTTCTCTCTTAATCCATTCTCTCTTTCTGTAACCGGCCCCACAGCGATAGTGGGCTAAGGTATTCTTTTATCGCCACTGAATAGAGATTTCCTTTGAGGTTCTGGAGTTGATACACTCTTCAACATCACTTTTATGCTGTGGTCACAATGTAGAGTGATTTATTGCTTTAGGGGACATATAGTCTCTTTTAGAAGTATTCTCATGTAGGTGTAGGTATTATCTGGATATTCTTCAGGAAATCCTTTTACAACAATATCTGCAGCAGAGCAGAGGTTTGACTCAGTTTGGAAGTGTAATCTATAATCTTGATCATACTACACTAACTTGAAGACTGAGGGGCCCAGGTGGTGATATGGGTGGCAAGCATGTTTAATAAAGTAAATCAAAGCTGACTCTTTGGAACTGAAAACAAACTGAAATTTTAAAAAGAACAACACAGATACATTTTGTACACATTCCTGAAACACGTGACTGCTGAAATACAATGTGTTCATCAACAGCGATATGCCTGGCTGAAATGACAAAACATAACAAAGCTCACATGCTTGCTCATTCTCCCAGGTAAGACAAGTGTGTTGGTATGAATCTCAACAGAAGTGTAAAGAAGAGAAAATCATAAAATTGTGTCAAGTGGAAACTTTAACCTCCCAGCTGGATGCAAACGAGAAGTAGATAGGAAGTCACTCACTGTTGGGTGTGTGATGTACTTTATTGCTGCCCTGCTCTTTAATGCATTAATGACTGTATTCCAATTTAAAAACATGGTAATAAGTTTGCTGGACCTGTATTTGACGGTGCCAAGAGCTTTTAGTGATGGTGAGGTAAAAGTGAAGCATATCACATGAAGGCAGGCAGTCTCTCGCCCCTATTTACTTTCTGCTTCTCCTCTCTCTCGCTCTTTTCGCTCTCTCTCCTCTGCAGGTTTGGGCCTGAAAGACGTGCCAGACCTGCTGCCAAAGCATTGGCCTCCACCTCACCCTGCAGACATGGCTAAACACACACATGGAAACACACATAAACACACACACACACATTAAAAATCACACATATCTCCTGTGTTTTCAAGCATGTAAACATACTTTGCTTCCTCATATTTCCGTACATCCACCATTCACATATGCTTGAGACCCTGGGCTGTGCGTGCACACACAAACACACACACATTCTTCTCATCCCTGCATTTTGCATCACTGACGATACAGTGGTTACACAC